ATGAGAGAATTTGTCCTGACATGGCACAGTAGGAACTGTGGGAAAGTACTGGAGGCCTAGTGGCAGGTTGATACAACAAGACTGTACCTACACTAAATTGCCTCGTTTACACAACTCACCAGACCGTAACTTGGGCTTAAAAAAAAAGTTACTGCACTTTAGCTAGTAGGTTTTGGGCATCAAACCCGAGTTAGGAATAACACTTTAGTTGCGACTTGAGCTCCACGATGAAAACAAATCTTGAAGCACTTGAATCACCATATTCCCTTTTTCCTGTTCCTTAGTTTTCGCTCAGTTAAAGCCATCAGCCTACCACATGACGACAGAGTTCTTAAGTAAAACTGCTATTCTCCTTCATCCACATCAATTGCTCCTTTTTTTCAAAATGGAAGCAAAAAAAAAAATTCAGCCAACATTTCTGCTAGCATTTTGGAGTGCAGAACATGGAAAAAGGATGCTGAAAGACACTGAGGAAAGAGAAACTGCACTGTTTAAATATAGAGTGAGTTATGTTGCTTCCATTATTGCAAGATGCCCACAGTATTGCCAAGAGCACACATTTAAAAACCATGTGTCAAGCCTCCAAAATCATGAGATTGGCATTAAAAAAAAAAAATTGAGATACAATTGATTTTGCATTCTTTTTATTTTCCTTCTGGCATCTGTGCTCTTATGGTAAGAGAAGGATGCAATACAAGTCTTGTTAAATGAAGTTGCAACCTGTTGATCAGGCTACAGGAATTTACTGTTTCTTTCCGTTTCCTAGTTTAAGAGCAAACAACTATCTTGTTTCCTGATGGTTCAGGTTATGTTTGGTAAAATATGTTGTGTGTGGGGCTCATTTGCTGGGTTGATAAAAGAAACTTTTTGTAATGGTGCATTTAGCAATTTGCTTTTATGGCTATCTAAGTGAATGGCAAACTTGTTAGTATTTTCAACTTGTACTTGATTCCAGGCTCTCTAAGTGAGAGAAGACTAAACGCTCTGGGGTAACTTGACTCAACAGGTAATGTGATGAAAGGCCTGAAAACTTAGGACAGTCCAAAAGGAAAATATCCAAGTAGAACTAAAAAAGCCATTGCATATAGTTCCGTAACTGAATTTGGGCAGCATTTTTTGAGAAGGGAGATATGTCAGTTCCTTAATTATGGAAACCTTCCTCTTTTTATGAATGTTTCTCAAAGTAAATCAGTAACAGGGCATAAAAGACACCACATATTTTCATATTGTAAACATTTCTCTATTGTAGTTACTTTTTTAAAGCTCTGTCCACTATCAGGTTGGTATGTGAATGGCACAACTGTGATAGGGAAGCAGGGTGACCATATTTTTTAAGAAAATCCAGGACCGTGTCCCCTACCCTCCTCCCCCAAGTCAGTGGTGCTGCTGCAGGCAGAGGCAGGTGGTCCAGTCTGCTGGCCTTACTCCTGGCCCACTGTGCCACTCCACTTCCCTACCAGACTCCGCCCCATGCCCCTGCCTGCAACAGCCAATTTCAGGACTTTTCTTTCAATTTGCACCAACCAGCCAGGACACTGAGTCAGCCTATGAAATCTGGGACTTAAATAGGTGAAACTTGCTATGTTTAGCCATGACCCTTGTAAAGCACTCAGAGAACTGAGACATAAGCAGTGTTATCATTTCTTACAGCATTTTGTCTTTTACTTAAATAAAGTTCCATCACCTAGAGTCAGAGAAATGCATGAGAAGCTCAACCTTCACATTTTATTTGAACACAAATAAATATCAGCTTCATGGTTGGAGAAGTGCCTGAAAATACACTGATCTTACTGTAAAGGCTCAGAAACCAGAAAGCAAACAAAGACTGTTAAATTAAATGTCTTAAAAATCATGGGATTTTTCTAAAATCTCATGACTGAGAATTGGAGGATGGCTGATTAACGCTTGGAAGAAAATAATGTTAAAACTGGCAAGGCTTTCCTTTTAATGCCAAGCCCAGATACTTCTGTGTAGCTTTGCTCTATATTAAGAGGCATTTATTTAGGATTTGTTGCTTGTACCCTGACAAATCCAAATCAGCAAAAGGAGTTGATCATAGGTTTTCAAGTACAGAGATGACTGATTTAGAAATTAAGTCTTGGAGTCATTTCCATTTTGAATTCTCTGCACATGACTCCAAAGATACAGACTTAGAAATTCATGAAAAAGCCATATGTCCATCTTTGTGCAGTAACACAAAGCTTTCCAACTGTGACACTATGGGTGTCTCTACATGAGATGCTTACTTTGCAAGTAGCACGCTAGGCAAAAACCATGCTAATATGCTACTGTGTAGTAGTACTAAGCTACTGCACTGTAAGCATCACTAAGAAACTGTGTGCCAACGCTACTATGCAGTAGAGTTATTGTGCATTGATTTAGTACTTGGTGAGCCAAGTACTGAACTTAATGTACAGTAACTACGGTGCATTAATGAACATGTAGATGCACACTGTATATCATAAACTGTAACTGCACACTCAGCTCTCTACAGGTATGGGAGTGTACTGCTTTAGAACAGTCAAAATAAATTTAATAAATTGTTCATTTTTCTTTGAAAAAGATACTGTCTGAGCTTTGAAACTATTTTTAGGATAACACCACATAGCTGTCCCTGGAGAAGATGGTCAGTTTTGTTCAGGGGAATACATGTTTTCTAGAACTAACATCAAAAAATCTAATTAAAAGACATCTCTTCAATTAAAGCCTCTAATCCACAATTAAGGAACTCAGAGCATATGCCTTTGATGGTGAACATAGAAAGCTCTCTGAATAAGAAGTAATCTCTTTTTGTTCAATGGAACGGCTCAGCCTCACTCACTATTAAATCGCCACCTAGAAAACAAAGCTGAGAGTTACCATCTATTGACATACTGTGATTTGGAAACAGTCTCCAGGACAAGCAGAGACTTAGAAACTCAAGGCAAAGTCAGAATAGCCAGTGAGGGTTCTGATGATGTGGCTGGCATGGGTGTGTAACCACCCATCTACTTCTCCACAACGATTCAATCAAATGGAAAGCCAGTTTCATATACTCAATTTTGCAATCTTATATCCAGGCATAAGTTTATACTGGTGTTTTTAAATAACAACTTTAGTTAATTCCCCATTTTAAAAGCACGTCTCCATTTGCAAAAATAAATTTAAATGAAAAAAAAAAAAAACCCTAGATTTACTGACTACACTTAAAATACTTGATACCAGCACAGCATTCAAGGGTCATGACAGATGCAAGATTTGGTACTATACCCATAGCATTCAAATTCTCCTGTTTTCCACCCCAGGATATAAGCACTTCATAGACATTAATTAATAAACCTTTCCACACCCCCATGAAATCAAATAGCATCGCCATCTCCTTTTTTCCCCCTCCTTCTTCAGATATGGAAACAGAGGCACAGATTAATTGAACTGCCTATGGCAAGAAACTGCAACAGGCAGAGGAACACACATCTTGAATGCCATTCCAGTGCTTTAAAACAGAATCCTCCTTCCTTAACTGGATGGATGTACCACCCAAAAAGGAAAAAAGAAAGATGTTTTGCAAGAGTCTGCACCACACCTCCACACAAAGGTACTATTTCCCTTTATAGGCTGAAGTTGATCCACCTACAGTGCAATTTAAGATAATAAGATACAATCTCTCATAAAAGTATTGAATATAATTAAAGTATGTCTGTTATAAAGGTAAACAGAGTGTACTTTGCTAAGCTGTTCCAGATGCTTTTAGTGCAAGATCTGGGACAAGATCAAACCTGCAGCTGTGCGTTTTCTCAGGGGTTAGTTCAAAGCTACACAAATCACTTTACACTCTTAGCCTCTTGTGAAACCTGTGTAACAAACAATCATAAAAAAAGAGTGCCAGCACAATTAATTTTGAAAGATAAGTTAACACTGAGGGTACATAATTGTGCATTAATACTTCAGAACACAGTCAGGTCAAGTACAGTGAGATGTTAAACATCTAGCATCAAAAAGAATTTACACCCACTCCGCCAAGTTGTGTGTGTTTCAGGAGATATTAAAGAAACATGAACCTGTTTTACTGCCTAAGCAAGTTTCTCTCTGAAGCACACCTACAATGATTCAAATGAGGTGTGGAAAGCCAGGTTTATAAACTTCACAAATATGCACTACTATTTTTCCTTTCACGTACATGTCACTCAGCTATCAAGTTTTAAAAAACAGACAGGAAGCCACTGTATACATACATACAGTCTATACACACTAAAATTGAAAAAACCCCCAACTGTTTCTTGAACTGTGAGAATCATGAGAAAATATAAGTTATTGTATTACCCAATATTGAAGTGACGCAAAGTGGTTCATAGAGCAAAGTGCATCAATAGTAGAAACAAGCAACAAAAAGAAAGGTTTTTATCTTCCCTCTACTATGAATTTAGATTCAGACTTAAAAATGTCTCTATCACTAAAATTACTCACTTTGGTAATTAAATATAATTCAGTGAAACATGAATGAGAAGTCATGCACTCACTGCACAGGTAATACTTTACAGAAACTTAAGTTTTCTAGTTAACTACTTTTTTAAGACTGAATTATTTTTTCAGAACATAAGACAAGGCTTGACCTCAGCACTGAGGCTGCTGGATCATATAGTGGACAGGTACTTCTTTGATCATATCTCTCTTTCAAAAATGTAGTTAGCATGGTTAAATTCAGATGGAACCTTGAGTTAGAAATTTAGGTTAAAGTCAGGACAGAGGCCACACAGAACAAAAAAAAAAAAAGAGGTCAGAATGCCAGCTCAGAAATTGCTACATTGTACATAGACCATTATTCAATTCCTCTGTTTGTTTGTTTCCCCCAAAGTCCAGTTGCAGATAGCTTGGGTCTCTCCAGGGGGTCAATTTCAAGGTGTTGCTGGTTCTGAAACAGCAGTGATTTCAAAGCTAAAGGCAAAATCAAGTCTATTTGCTTTATTGCATCAGCTGAATCTCGCTCCCAAGGTTAACCCTCAGCTGCCCTGGTTAGTCCTCACCTGTTGGAGAACTCGGTCCAAAGGCTCAGCTTTGCTCAGTCCCTCTGGTGTTAAGCCACTCACTTCTCGACACGGGTCGCTCAACTCCGGATTGTCTGCTTTCACCAGGGATTTGTGCAATGTCCCTACCTGAAAACATTTAAGCAGGGGGAAATGTGAGGAGCCAGGGAAAGAGTCCCTTCTTCCACTGCACTCAGAAATGCGGGGAAGATCCAGGCCCCCTTTCCGAAACAGATGTACACACACGCACCAACAAGCAATGATTTGACCAAAAACAATTATAAGGCATTTGTCAATTTCACAAATCAAAGCCTCTGACCTCTTTTCCTTCCCTTCCACCCCAAAACACTCCTCTGCTGCCAGGGCCCAGGCGGGTTGGAGAGGCCTCGGGAGAAGACCTCTTGCCCCTCACAAGCCAGGGCAGCTTCTGGCTGGAATCGGGTCATTTTGATGAGAAAAATATGAGAACAGTAATAGTGCCTGGAGGGGCAAGGGCAGGGGTCAGTCCACCCTAGCCGGCTCCTACCCATTGTGTTTTAAAGAAGTCCTGCAGGTTGGCTTGGGAATGAAGCTCATAGAAAAAGTGAAGAGCTGGAGCATGAGGAGAAGAGGCGAAGCACAAGGCCGGCCCGCTTCTCGAGGGGGTCCTTTGGCGGGGGGCGTCTTTTAAGGGTCCAAAAACGAAGGGGAAAAAATCCCTAAAGGGAATGAATGTCTTTAAAGGAGAGCCCAACAGAGAAGGGCTTTAAAAATATATACGTAAGTCTTTGCAAACTAAAGTCCGCGCCCTCCTCCTTCCCGGTGCATTCGTGAAATGAACAAACGGCCCCGGGCGCGGGTCGGTGCCGCGGGCCATGTGGCGCAGCCCGGCAGCCCCGGCCGGGGGCTCCTGCAACCGGCCTGGAGCCCTAAACGCAACGTGGAGGGAAGAGGGTGAAGCCATACCTTCTTGCTCTGCAGATCCACAACTTGCCACACCAAGAGAATTAGTTCCCTCTCATCCGAACCCAGTTTAGCCCCATATGCACCAGCTGTTGCCCCAAACAACACCACCAAAGAGTCACTGTGCGAAGCCGTCATGACCACAGGGGGAAACAACTACAATCAAAAGCAGAGGTCAAAAAAAAAAAAAAAAAAAAGGGGGAGAAAAAAAAACAAAAAAAAAAAAAAAGGGGGAGAAAAAAAAACAAAAAAAAAAAAAAAGGGGGAAAAACAAAAAAAAAAAAAAAGGGGGAAAAAAAAAAAAAAAAAAAAAGGGGAGAAAGACAGACAAAAACAAAATGCAAAAATCCCCACAAAAGCTGGTCCCCGTCCTCCAAGTGATCACAGGCGAATAAAAGGACAAGAAGGAACGATATGAAGAGAAGAGCTCCCGGGGCTGGGAAGGTTTGAGGTGAAAATGGAGAAAACTTCTTGCAGCTCTACCTGTTCCCAGTGATTTCTTCCCCCGGGTCTGATTGGGAGGTGAAATTAACAAGCTGTGGGTTTCTCTCCCTCTGACATCATGGTAGGACCCAGCCTGGGCTTGAGCTTTTTTTCTTTTTTTTTTTTTTTTTTTGCCTT